ACATATAGAAATATTTCATACAATTTACATTATAATGATATTAAAAAAATTATTATGTAATGACAAAATTGCCCTTGAAAAATTCAAATGTCATGCATATGGTATTATATTCCTTTTAATGATTATTATTTCCATCTGTTATTATGTTAGCCTATGAATTTCGGATAGAAAAAAATGAATGTGGTTGTAACACAAGTGAAAATGAATATTGATGAAACTTTTTTTCTTATATATAGTATATATATTAAATGTTATTATTATTAAATAATATATTTGGTAATGAACAATAGGTGTAAGTGTATTTTTTCTTATTAAAAAAATATGGTTAAAAACACACATATTACTCGTACATTCATACGAGACAAATTAATTTTTACATATATTTAAAACAACATAATTATAAATCTTAAGATATATATTAAAAACATTGTGTAATAATTTGATAAAATAAATTGAAATATATAAACCAATTTTAATATAATGTGTAAAGCAATATGCTTGAACTTCATTTTGTAGTGGGAATGTTATCCATAAGACTTGAATTTAAAAATTTCTTAAAGGAGAATCACTATTGAAACACTTTTGAACCAACCTGAATTAAGTAAATAGTTTTTCAAACACAACCCATCACTTCTATTTCTTTCACTAGTTTGATAAGTCTTGTTATTTTCTCCAATTCAAGAACTATACTTATTTCTTTTGTTTTTGCATCAATTTTTATAAATAGATATTATTTGAATCAATATTGAAACACTTTTGAACCAACCTCATTAATTTGATTATATGAATACCCAATTTTTTTCGGCCTATACAAAATATAAAGATTTTAAAACATAAAAATATTTTTTTATTAGATGTTCCGAAACTAATCTTATCTCTGAATCATAATCAATGATAAATTAATTAATGACAGTTTTGTTAGATTTTAATTCATCGGCTTCGTTTTAATTTCAAAGGTTAATGGTGGTTTCACTTTTAAATCTTGAAATTAATTATCACTTTTGGAAATTAAATAAAACTAGGTGTTGCAAAAAAATCAAATCTCACCGTTTCACCTATACACATTCTCCATTAAAATCACCAATTGCTCATTTGGAGTTTTATTATGTTGCATCATTTACACTTACATTTATTTGGAAAGTAAAAATAAATAATGGTCTTATGGGTATATGAGGAGGGAGAGACAAGTTATTAGTCTTACACTTGTTTTTAATGGGAAAAATGTAATATTATTTTCTTTAAAGGATAGAAATGTTTGTTTTCTTGGTACTTGTCTCTCCATTAATGGAGAGAATCCTAACCCATGAGGAGGTGGGAGAAAACACATTGGCCACCGAGAAAAATCTTTAACCCCTTTCTCTTCTTCTTAAGTAACTGCATGCCATGAACTCCAAGAAGATGAGAGGATATTGAAACGTAGAAGAAGAAAAGGAAAGCAACCGTTCAGCCCTCACTGGTGGTGCAATTGGTGTGAGAAAAGTGTATTGTGTAAAGAGGATCATCAACCCAACAACGGAAAATTTACCTTGTTTTGAATTATTTACACATCCGCGACTTCATTTCCTGGGAAAGTCGTGCATCCCATACACGACTTTCAGTCAGCTTCTCTCTCCTATATGCAACTCGTGCCCTCCATGCACAAGTTCCTTACTCAACTATTATATGGAAGTCGTGTTTCTTGTCCACGACTTCCATGGTGCAAGATAAGATAAGATGTAGCCACGACTTCCTAGGAAATCGCATTCCTGGTCCACGACTTCATCAAAGTCATGGATATGGTTCACGACTCCTCAAAAAGTTACACTAATGATGTAAATAATTCAAAAGAAACTCAAAAGTGGGATAGTGTAATCAAACTACATTATCCACATAAATTTTCCACCAAAGAAGTAATCTTTTAAGTGATGCTGTCCAAGAAGCTTTCTCTGGAATAATGGCTCATTCCAAGAGAATGAACGCATCACTTTGGGGTCTTGCTATTTTAATGGGTGTGTTTTTAGTTTAACAAATCATATATTTAAAGTGAAGATCACTTGTTCCATTTTTTTTGTCGTGTCCTAATCTAGTTAAAAGTTGTCACATACTTACAAATAAAAATTATAAAATAAAATAAAAATAATTTATATATTATTTCGAGAGATTTGATTGGTTTAGAAAATGAGGACATGGGACAGAGAATCACGTGTCATATACTTGTCATGCTGTCCAACCCATTATCATTTTCTTCTTCTCCTTGTTAATATATCCACATACTCAAAAAAAAACTCACCTATACACAGAATGCCTTCATTATCTACCTTGGTAAAACAAGTAGAACTCACCATGTAAAAATAGAGACACACCATAACCTCTTCCTCCATAAAACCTCATACACCTAAAACTTCAAACTTCAATACCCCTCACCTCTTCTTGTGGCCGATGCTGCTTGGTTTATACATTGATGAAAGGGTCAACCTTGTTCCACAAAAAACTGTTTTATCCTCACAACTTCAACATGGTGTGGTATTATTCCATGGACTTAAGCTGTAGTTAGCCCTGTAAGTATAGTTTTGTGATGAATGGGAGGTCAAGAAATGAGGTTTCTCCTCAGCTGTTGGATTTGATCTCAAATAATAGAGAATGGAAAATGAACAAAGATGAAGAAAAGTGTTCAGAGGATAGGAACTTGAACTCAGGCTTTGTCCACCTAGTTGTGAAGATAATATGAAAAACAACATCAACAACATAGGTGGCATCGGGCAAAATTACCATCTTGTGTCCAAAGAGCTTGGACAAGCCATGTTCTAGCCATCGTCATTGTAGCTAATGTTTATTTCTTTTATGAAAGTTGTTAGTAATGTTAATGACAATTGATTTTTTCATGTCATTTTAAAATTAATTAACTAGTGTATTATCAAATAAATTTGAATGAAATTTTTATACTAATGACATAGTTCGAGTCGTTTCTAATTTTTATGAAAACTAAAACAATGTATACGATCAACATCGTCTAAGTTAATTTCATATATTAAAAATATTTAAAACTACTTTATTAACGAATTCAAATAAAATTTTTATAGTAAGGTACCGTTTCTAAGCTATTAATTTCAAGCTAAAAAATGACAAAATTTATGTTATCATCAAATTAATTTTAACAACTACTCTCATGTTTTATCAGGTAAAGTGAAAAGTCAAACTCAATCAAACTAATATTTTCAAATCAACTGATATAGATGATTAACGAGGGTATAACCGTCCATGTGATTAGCTGAGTACATTGCCTCTATTTAAATATAGGAAGAATAAATTTCAATATGGGCAAATGCACCATGTGCCCTTGCAAAATGCATTGAGCTTAGCACCAACAATTTGCTTGCATCTAGCAATGCACTCAGCTTGTGTGCATGTGTTGATTGGGATCATAAACCAACATTCCTCAAGTTGTAACTTCAAAACTAATGAAGGCAACACTATTACCACTAGGAATAAAATTACATTCTTGAAAAAAGTGTTTACCATGGAAAACTACTAGCTTGCCTCTTCAAAGTTTTGGAATAATTCTCACCTAAATCGATGGCTTTGACAATTTGAGATGGAGAATAATTGCTTCAATATTTATAGGCAAGATACAATGTGTAACACCACAATCCTAACATATAAGACCCTCTGGGCCCATTAATATACTGAGTGTGTTATCCACCAGCTTAAATACTCTCTACAGTATTTTATTCCCCACAAAGGGAGCCTCCCACGACACGAACTCTTGACCTCAGAGACAAATAGTAATTATTCCTATGAGTCAATATCATTAAGCTGTCATTATTCTCATAGATTTGGTTATATATACACCACTAGATTATTTAAACAATTACTCTCCATCTCAAATTGTTTTGGTATCTTGCATATAAATATTGAAGCAATTATTCAAGATCTCCATCTCAAATTGTCAAAGTCAAAGTGAAAAGCATTCCAAAATTCTGAAGAGAGAAGACTTTGTCTCTTATGGTAACAGTGCTCACTTTATGGATTTTGAAGTTACAACATGTTGAATGTTTATATACCATCTCACTCAACTCATGCACTCAAGCTGAATGCATTGCCAGATGCAAGCAAATGGTTGGTGCTAAGTTTATCAATGCATTTTGCAAAGACAATACATTGTACATTTGCTCATGTTGAAGTTTACATATACTCATTCTTTGTATTTAAATATATCATGGAAATCACTCACTCTTGTTATCTTTTGAAATAAGGTCATCAAATCCCATAAATAATCATGTTTTCTAAGGTGAATGTTTATTTTGCATGTTTTTGTCTTTCTTATGAATAATATGTCCAAGAAAAAACTTCAATGTATTCCTTGTTTAATTTGTTCTAACGAAGAAGATTATGCTATAATTGCATTTAAATAACTAACATTTTGGTGATAAGACATTATAAAACATTTTCTTATCTGGGCAAATCACACATAATTGACATATAATACTTCCCTTCATTTCTTGTCTAATTTCTTTATTTGATAGTCACTAACCTTCTGATTAAAATGTAATTTATTATTATTTGATAATAATAGGGGCATTTTCCGTGATATATTTAAATACAAAGAATGAGTATATGTAAACTTCAACCTGAGCAAATGCATCATATATCATCCTTACAAAATGCATTGACAAACTTAGCACCAATCATTTGCTTGCATCGGGCAATGCACTCACCTTGAGTGCTTGAGTTGAGTGGGATGGTGCATGAACATTCAACATGTTGTAACTTCAAAATCCATAAAGTCAGCACTATTACGATAAGACCAAAGTTGTCTTTGATAGAATCTGTCAATATTCTGGTAAATATTTTCCATATCTTTGTATATCTTTTATATTATGATAGGAAATATTGTTACTCATATTTGCATATCAGCATAGTTGTCTTCCTTATTATGTAGCCTTGAATTTTGAAGGAATTTGTTCCGTGATTGTATTCCATTCAAACAGTGACTAATATACAAGAGTATCAGCAAAATTCAAGGCTACATAATAGTGAAGACAACAATGTTAATATGCAAATATGGAAAATATTTCCTATCCAGCTTGGTAGTTTCCACCGCCTGTCCAGGGTTGAGCCCTGGGATTTGACGACGAACTTAAAAAGCCACCTACAGACGCTTTACGCCCAATCATTCCAGATAACGCTTGCATCCTCTGTCTTACCGCGGCTGCTGGCACAGAGTTACATGTCAAGTGCACCTTTACTTGAAACATATAACCTAATTTTGTCCGATCTATATCAAAGCAACATAATCACCTACTCGAGTCAGAAGTTTCCAATGTCTCATTCTAAACTCCTTGATCGTTTTTCTAAGAAGTTTATAGGCTCTCTGGACTCCTAGAGTTATCTGATGAGAGGCCCATGTCTTAGCTAGAGCACAAGTGGAGGTTCTATTGCTTCTTCTACAAATAAGAATGCATAATCAGGAGCCTAAATTTCAGTTATCCATTGATAATTGGCCTCATGATATAAAGAGCTCGGTGTAGGGAAAGCAAACAACAAAGATTGCGAGGTGTGATTCCCAAGGAATTTCTAAGGTAACACCAGCTAATGCACCACTTCATTCACTTTCTATTCCTAAAACAGTTGGTCATGTTTTCTTGTCAGAGGAAGAAAACCAGATAACAGAATAATGAGAAAGAGGTGATTTTATTTTGTGTTCTGCATCTTAAAAAAATATTGAACAATGCAGTGTTTATATACTAAAAAACTGAAACTGAAACTTGACTAACAATCTCCACTAACCACGTCTAACAATCATACATTAGTGGTGGCATAAATGACATAAAAACTGAAACTTAAATTACTCCTAATTAATAGCCAAAAAACCAGCAACAATCTTTTGACAAAGTCTTCCAACAAAGTCACTGATTTTCTCTGACTTTTATTCAGCTTTGCATGCACATATGAGCTTGAATTATGTTGCAACACCTCCCCTTAATTCAAACTCATACATACCAATTTTTTCCATAAAGAACTGATGTTTGGTTTGAGCTAAAGCCTTGGTGAACAGATCTGCATTTTGGATGTTTGTGTTGCAGAATTTTAGAGCAATTGTTTCATCTGACACAAGCTTCCTTATGAAATGATGTTGAACTTCAATATGCTTGGTTCTTGCGTGAAAAGCTGGGTTTCTTGTCATAGCAATTGCGGACCTGTTATCACACCATATCTCAGTTGCTCCTTCCTGCTCACAACATAGATCTTTCAGCAACTTTCTAAGCCAAACAACTTGTCTTGCTGCTGCACCAACAGCTACATATTCTGCTTCAGATGATGACAGAGCCACAGTGTTCTGCTTCTTTGAACTCCAAGTAATAGCTCCTGAGCCTAAACTGAAAATTGACCCTGAAGTACTTTTTCTGTCATCCAAACTACCTGCCCAGTCACTATCTGTGCAGCCTATTAACTTGAACTCATTTACATGTTCATACAGGATTCCAAAACGAGTTGATCCTGCAACATACTTCAGAATCCTTTTTGCTGCACCTAGTTGTTGCTTTGTTGGAGAGTGCATGTATCTGGATACCACACTTACACTATAAGCAATGTCAGGACGTGTGTGAGTGAGATAATTCAGGCCTCATACAAGACTTCTGAACAGCTGTTCATCAGCTTTTCCTGTGCCATCCTCCTTCTGCAGCTTCTCATTAGGATTCATAGGAGTTTTGACAGTCTCACATTTTTCCATTGAAAATTTCTTCAGCAAATTCTCTGCATACTTCCTTTGGCACAGAAATATTCCATCTTCTCCTTGCTTTACTTCTAGACCCAAGAAATACTGAAGCAGACCCAAGTCTGTCATCTCAAATTTCTTCATCATTGATGCTTTGAACTCATTTAGCATCTTCTGAGAGGAGCTAAAGTAAATGATGTCGTCCACATAAAGATAAACAACTAGGAATTCATTCATGCCTTCCTTTTTCACATAGAGAGTTGGCTCATTCTCACTTCTCTCAAACTGATTTTGAAGAAAGAATGAGTCAATCTTGGTGTACCAGGCTCTTGGAGCCTGTTTCAGTCCATAAAGTGCCTTTTGCAGCTTGTAAACTTTTCCTTTTTCACCATCTTTGACAAAGCCAAGTGGTTGCTCAACAAAAACTTCTTCTTGTAAGTCTCCATTGAGAAATGCAGATTTTACATCAAGCTGAAACACATCCAATTTCCATTGGGCAGCCAAAGCTAATACCACTCTTACAGTTTCAAATCTTGCCACTGGTGAGAATGTCTCCTCAAAATCGATTCCTTCTTGCTGTACATACCCTTTTGCCACCAATCTGGCTTTGTGCTTCTGAATACTACCATCTGTATTGAACTTAGTTCTGAATACCCACTTAAGTCCAATAACATTCTTTCCTTCAGGAAGATCAACCAATTTCCAAGTCTCATTCTTTTGAATGGACTTGATTTCCTCCTTCATTGCTTCTTGCCATTCAACTTCATCTTTAGTTTCATCAAAACTGGTTGGATCTGCAGCCATCAGTGCAAAGTCACAGTTTGCATACAAGTCAGCAAGAGTCCTGTATGTTCTTGGTGCTGAATCACTTGATGAACTTGATGATGAAGGACTTGAAGAAGAAGATGAGCTGCTATTTGAAGATGATGGTGATGTAGGAGGACTTGAAGATTGCTGGTCATTTGTTGGCACAGTTACGTCCTCCCCTGAGCAATCAGTCCCTACTGTTTTCTGCTGAATATTATCACAACTTTCTCTTTGCTCCCAATTCCAGCCTGCATTCTCATTAAACACAACGTTCCTACTGACCATAATCTTGCCAGTAAGAGGGTTATACAGTCTGTATGCCTTTGATTGAGTAGCATAGCCAATGAATACACATTTCATAGATTTATCATCTAGTTTAGATCTCAAATCAACCAAAGCATAAGCTATACAACCGAAAACTCTTAAATGACTTACTGATGGTTTTTTTCTTCTCCATGCTTCAAATGGTGTCATATTCATGACGGCCTTTGTAGGAGAGACATTGAGAATGTATACTGCAGTAGCTACAGTTTCACACCAGAAGTTGTTTGGTACACCTCTAGCTTTGAGCATGCTTCTTGCCATCTCTACAACAGTCCTGTTCTTTCTCTCAGCTACTCCGTTTTGCTCTGGAGTATATGGTGCAGTCAATTCTCTTCTTATTCCTTGCTCCTCACAAAATGTGATGAATTCATTTGACAAAAATTCGCCACCACGATCTGTTCTTAAGGCTTTCACACATAAACCAGATTGTTTCTCAACCATAGCCTTAAAAATCTTAAAGTTTTCAAAGGCTTCAGACTTAGCCTTTAGAAAGTAGACCCAACTCATTCTGCTGTAGTCGTCAGTTATGAGCAGGAAATACTTACTTCCACCAAGAGAGACTGACTGCATTGGTCCATAGAGATCAGCATGCAGCAGCTCCAAACTTTCACTTGCTCTCCAAGCTCTGCCACTAGGAAATGGTCCTTTTGACTGCTTTCCATATAAACATCCTTCACACAACTCAAGCTCACCAATTTTAGGCAGCCCTTGCACCATGTCTTTGGAATTTAGAAGCTTCAGTCCCTGCACATTCAAATGACCATACCTCAAATGCCATAGTTTGGCATCATCATCTCCTCTAACTGTCAGTGCTTTGTTCATATTGCCAGATAAATCAAGAGGGAACATTCTGTTTCTCCCCATAACAATTTTTACTACGACTTCTTTGGATTTCTTATCACAAATCAAACAAAAATCATTCTCAAACAATACTGAATATCCAGAATTGATTAATTGACCCATACTTAGCAAATTGTGAGCCAAATTTGGCACATATTGCACATCATATAATAGCTTAGTGTCTCCTTGCTCAGTTTTGATTGCAATCGTGCCTCTTCCTTTCACTTCAAGTTGTTTTCCATCTCCAAGCCTCACCTTGCTCTTCAAAGATTCATTCAGTTCTCTGAACATAGACTTGGCACTTGACATATGGTTGGAGCACCCACTGTCAACATACCACACACCACCTCCTACATCATTGCCAGCTGCACTTTGTGCTAAAAACAACTTTTGCTCATTCTCCACAAAATTGGATTTTTGATCACCCTTTTGTTCATCCTCCTCCTTCTTCCAGCAGCTAGCTTCTTTATGGCCTGGCTTCTTGCAATAGTAACATTTGGGTGGACCCTTATATGATTGCTCTTTTCCTTCCTTATTCTGTCCACTTCCACGGCCCCTTCCTATAGAGCCTGCTCTTCCTCTACCTCTTCCACTGAATTGCCATGTTTTTTTTTCGTTTGAGGATTCTCCTTTCACATGGAATGCCTTTTCTTCCTTCTTCTCACTATTTCTATTGAGCCTTTCCTCATGAGCTTGCAAGGATCCCATGAGTTCATCAAAGGTGTAATCTGCCATATCCTTTGACTCTTCAATAGCTGCTACAACATGATCATATTTGCTTGTGAGACTTCTTAGAACTTTTCCAACCACATGTTCATTGGTCAGTGTTTCTCCATATGACCGCATTTGTTGTACCACAGTGGATACACGTGACAAGTATTCTTGGACAGATTCTTTGTCCATCATTAGAGCTGTTTCAAACTCTCTCCTTAGTGATTACAGCCTCACTGTAATCACCTTCTTGTCACCTAGATACTCTTGCTTTAGAGTATTCCACGCCATCTTGGATGTGGTTGCAGAAGCAATTCTGGGAAAGATTTCATCATCCAAGGCTTGTTGTATCATAAACAATGCCTTGGAATCTTTCTTTCTTTTCTCTTTCAATTGTTGATCAGGTTCTGGAGATTGAGCATCATCAAATCCTTCTTCAACAAAACCCCACAGTTCTTGAGACTTGAATAACGTTTTCATTTTCAAGCTCCAAAACTGATAATTTATGCCTTTAAAGATAGGCAATTGTGAAGTGGCGACACCTGACCCGTTGTTCTGCATTATGAACAACCTTTTCACTCTCTAATGCGTGTTTATCCTTGTATTTGAGTGCTCTTTCTTCTCACTCAGCAATTCCCTGGATATGAACCCGGATAATGCTCTGATACCAAATGTTTTCTTGTCAGAGGAAGAAAACCAGATAACAGAATAATGAGAAAGAGGTGATTTTATTTTGTGTTCTGCATCTTAAAAAAATATTGAACAATGCAGTGTTTATATACTAAAAAACTGAAACTGAAACTTGACTAACAATCTCCACTAACCACGTCTAACAATCCTACATTAGTGGTGGCATAAATGACATAAAAACTGAAACTTAAATTACTCCTAATTAATAGCCAAAAAACCAGCAACAATTTTTTGACAAAGTCTTCCAACAAAGTCACTGATTTTCTCTGACTTTTATTCAG